GAGAACGACGACGGCACCCTCACGATCACCTCGGGCGCGTCGGCGTGCGTGCTGTCAGGGATCGCGTGCACGGAGGGGACATACATACCGCTCTCCAACGACACCGTCGCTCCCCCGGGGTACTACATCAGCGAGGATCCAGGCACAAGAAAGGACCACAACCACTACTAAGTGGAGTGTCCTGGAGGCCCCTCGTGAGAGGACCCATCGACCTCGACACGAACATTTTGGTAGTGGTTGTGGTTGATTGCCCCTCCCGACACGCCCAGATCGACCAGAACCACCACCGAGCTGGTTTCGGTGCTCTGATGACTGGCGGCATGCGCAAGGCATCCCGCAGGGTGTGTCCTCGATGCGGCCGTGGTCGCTTTCTGCCCCCACATAGCCCAGACATGCGACGTCCTGATTTTTTCAGGACGGCGTCGCTGGAAGTCCCGACCCTTTCCCCGGGACCGGTTTTTCGTCCTGAGTCGTACTTTGACGGCCCCGAGGCCCGGCGAGGGCCCACTGGGGCCGAGAGTTGCCAAGAACTCCCCGTCCTGATTTTTTTGGCGACGCGGGCACGTCTGGGAGGACAACTCCGAGATCCTGGAGTGCCCGGCAGGCGCCATGTGCCCTGGGGGGCCCGACGCCGCCGCGCCACAGCTCTGCCCCCCGGGGCAGTACCAGGCCGACGCGGGCGCCGCGGAGTGCTCCACGTGCACGGCGGGCACCGTGTGCCCCGTCTCCGGCGGCAGCGCCCCGGAGCTCTGCCCGGCAGGGCGCGTGTGCACACACCCGGGCCGCTTCACGCCCACCTACCTCTGCCCGGCGGGGTCCTACTGCCTGACGGGCTCGATCACCCTCAACACCAACTCCAGCATCGTCGGCGCGCCCATCGTGTGCTCCGAGGGCACCTACTGCATGCTCGGGACCGCCGTGGGGTACGTCGAGGCGGGCTGCACGAGCTGCGCGCAGACGTGCACCCCGGGCACCTTCTGCGGGGTCAACACGACGGACGCGGGCGGCGAGGACAACTGCCCGCCCGGGTGGTACTGCCCGCCGGGCTCGCAGGTGCCAAAGGCCGTCCCGCCAGGCCATTACACCAGCTCTTCGGGGGCACAGTACCCGTCAAAGTGCGCGCCTGGAACTTACGCGAGCGGCTGGATGTTCACGGAGTGCGATCCGTGCCCGTCTGGGCACGAGTGCCCGCTCGACGGCACCGTCGAGCCGACCACGTGCACGGCCGGCACCTACAGAGAGGAAACGCTGCCAGGCGAGGACCCCGCCGACAACGTCAACTGCAAGCCCTGCCCGCAAGGCACCTGGTCGGCGATAGAGGGGTTGGTGTCGGTGCTCCAGTGCAAAAACTGTGACGAGCGGTATTACTGCCCCATCGAGGGCACTACGATCTTCGCCACAGTGGAACAGCCTTGCGCCGCCGACGAAATCGGCACCGGCGCTATCTGCTACGAGAACTCACAGGGCCAGGACTGCCCTCAGGGCTTCGGCTGCCCGCAGGGCACCACAGAGTTCTCCCAGGCGGACTTCCCCTGCGAGCCTGGTTTCTGGTGCAAGATCCGCACGATCCCCAAAGAGACCAGGAACCTCCTGTGCCCAGAAGGCTACTACTGTAAGGCGGAGACGGGCGAATCTGGGGGCAGCGGCCGGTATGCTTTCTCGTGCCCCGCGGGCAAGTTCTGCCCGAACGGTACGGCCGCAATAGATGACCAGACGACGCTGGAGACGACATTGTACAACGTGCAGTCCGACATCAACATCATCTTGTTCCCGAACAGTGATACCAATGCTATGTGTCGGGATTGCCCCGACGACCTGCCGGACGGCGACATGGACGAGTCGCAGTGCCAACCGTGTGGCGAGCTTCACACTACGAGGCGCCTGCTCCATTCTGGCGCGCTGGCCAGCACGAATGGCTCCGCTGCGCTGGGGGCTCAGTATGGGTCACCGCTTCGGGTGCCCCGAGGGCCCTCCCGCCGGCTAGACCACGACCCTTCGGTGTGTGCGCCCGACATCACGACGGATCCGCCCACGCCCTGGGAGGTGGGCCGTCCCTGCTACACGGCGGTCGAGGATTGGGAGGGCACCCTGACCTGCCCCCGCGGCACGAACTCCAACATCGGATCCTCAGATCCGACGATGTGTATTCAGACAGGGATCCTCATCGCGGTGCAGAACATCTACAAGTGTTATCCCCCGCGCGAGTGCAGCGTGGGCTTCGAGCCCAATTACGTTTGCAAGGACTACGAGGTGCTGTGCGCACTAGCAGCGGATGGAGAGGACATCGAGCGTTACAAGAACGACAACACGTACAAAAAGTCATTCATGTGGGGCCGACTCTGGGACGGGGTGACGGTCGATTTCTTTGCATACGATCCTGTGGAAGACAGCGGCTTACACGTTTGGGACACGTTCGCATCCATCAAGGTGGAGCCGATGAGTATCGTTATCCTTTATCTCGATTTCAGCAACGTTCCAGAGGGCACTCTACTGAACGCAGACGGCGCGGGCCACTACGACATCCACATCGCGTCCGACGTGGAGGAGAACGGCTTCAACGATATGTCACCGGTCACCGGGCGACCGCACCTGCTTCCAGCCTTCTTCTACAGGTCCAGCAACAGTGACCTCAGATTCCCGGTGAAGATCCAGATCCTGGCGCTCGCCGCGTTCAGCTTCACGGTCCAGCTGAACCTGCGCCATGGAGGCCACCTTGACGCCTTGTCAACCCTGCACCAGAGCCTGGACATCAGGATGTTCCAGCCCTTCCGCACCGAGTGGGGAACCACGAAGTTCTTCGCCACGGTCCTGTCGAGAGACCTGCTGTTCGGCAGGAACATCCTGCTCCCCTACAACATGCTCCCTGGCATTTCCGCCATGAGTGGGCTCTACGACGTGGAGCTGAACACAGCCATGGTGACCGATGCCATCGACACGGGGGATCTCCCCAACGCGCCGCAGACACCCTATTATGATGACTCCAGCGCGATGGACAACATCGTGACAGACAGCTCCGCGTTCTGGACCTCGACCAATCTGGAAACGGTGGCGATGCCGTGGTTGCCTTTCTTCTCTCACTGCGACACGTTCGACTCGCACATCGTGATCTGGGACCTGTTCGAGCAGCCGGACTACAATTCGCGCGGAGGCCCGCGCGACGGGTGTGCTCAGTACACGCCCGAAACCGTGGGGATGGTTCCCACCTCGTTGGTCGACCCGACGACCTTGGAGCTGGTGTTCTCGCCCGTCGCCGACAATTGCTCGTTCGTCGTCAAATGCAGGTTCGAGGAGAGCCTGGAAGACGGGTTCTTCTCGGCGGACCCGTGGTGGGACATTCAGGAGGAGGAGCTGGACGTGTACTACCTCACAGAAACGCCGATAACGTTCGAACAGTTCAACGAGCAGGGCGCCTTTTTTGACGCGCAGGTTGGCGAGGACTCCCTGGTGCCAGTCTACATCGCGACGGATGAGAAAACTGCCAGATTCCCTCGCAAGGTCAATTTCGACATCAAGTACTACCAGGCGACCACAGATTCCAAGAAGATTGTTAGCGCGGAAACCGTAATGAGTGAGTATGACGATGACGATACATCGAACGAATATTTGTTGATGTTGTCGTTCGAGGCGCTCGGCTGGCAGGATCTCATGAACAAGTTTCAGCTGCCGTACGCAGTCTACGCTTTCCTCTACGCCATTATTGGCCTCGGCGCCGTTGGCTTCACGGTTGCGTTCTGGATCTGGTTCCGCGTGACCTCTCGGATCGCCCAGGCCCCCCCATTCCGCTGGTTGGAGTGCTACGAGTTCATGCTATGGTGGCCCATCCAGGGCGTGTTCGCTGCCAGCATCCCGGTCGCCGTGCTGTGGGGGGTCGTTTGGATCTCTTTCATGGAAGGCATCGACGTCACCGCGAGCATCCCGTGCAGCTACGCGGACATCGGCTCCGGGGACGTCGACGACTCCGAGACGGCACGGTGCAGGGCAGGGCGCGTTGGGACGTGCTTCCTCTTCGGCGGGCTGCTCATCCTGGTGTCGGGTGGCAAGCTGCTCGTCCCGCGGCTGAGGCAGGTCGAGGAGCAGTTCCTCCTGCAGCAGGGCGCGCAGTCCCTCGACCGCGAGGGGCTCCCGCTGCTGCCGGAGCAGCGGAGCCTGATCCGGACGGTGCCCATCCAGTGGAAGCGTGCGCACCTGGTATTCATCAGCGTCCTCCTGGTGCTCCCGCTGATGTCGCTGTGGGAGCTCGGCGCAGAAGAACCGAATATGGCGGGGAACGTTCGGTCAGCGTGTCGCTCCGCCGGTTCCCCAAGAGCGTCAGCGTCCCGAGCTCTGCCCAGTCTCCCGCCCCGCGGAGCGGAGCGACACGCCATCCGCTCGCAGGGCACGGCGTGTCGCCGCGGCCGCCGCCGCGACACGCTTCGAGCAGAAGCCCCCGACAGTCAGCACGAGCGGATTTCTCGGCTCGGCGCTGGCCCCTCCCCCATATGGCGCGCGGGGCGCGCCAGGGTCGGCGCCAGAGGCGCCGCCAGGGGGCTCCACGGCCGATGCAGGGGATCCGCGCCCACGTGCCGGAGGCTCTGCTTGCGGCGCTGTTTCCCCCCAGTCAGTGCTTGCACTTAGGCGTCACCTGGCTTGGTCGGCTCACGGAGCTCGAGGCTTCGCCCGGCGCGCGCCCCTGGGCGCCTCGTAGCTCACGCAGCAGTGCTTAACGTCGCGCAGCTTGCACCACAGAGCTTGCAGCACACGGCTCGCACCACAGAGCTCAGACCACACAGCTTGCACCACCTGGCTTGCACCACGGAGCTTAGCACGACGCAGCTCTCACCACGCGGCTCACACCACGTGTGTTCCACGGCATACCTGTCGCCATACAGCTCACGCCACATAGCTGACACAACCTTGCTTACACCGCGTAGCTTGCACAGCATAGCTCACACCGCATGTCTCCCACCACACAGCTCACACAACATAGCATGTACCACATAGCCTACACCACGTAGGTAGCACCACGTAACTCTCGCCGCAAAGCTTACACACCATAGCTCACACCACATAGAGCTGATACATACACCTTTCACCCCCACGGTGCCATTACCCACTGCTTGGGGCCCACGCTGTCTTAAACTGTCCCTCGAGGAGTTCACCTATGCCGACTACTTCGAGACGAACACCATCGCTTTCATCGTCTTCTTCAGCTTCTCCATGATCCCCGTCGAGGGCGCCCTGTCGCGGGCGGCCCGTGAGGAGCTCCTGGAGGTGCCGCTCTCCACGGCCTGCTCCGTGGTGCTGTTCATCGGCACTCTCGGCGCCGAGGACTTCGCGGACTTCTGCGAGGCTTGGCTGCCCTGATACGCCCGTCTTGAAACGCAACACGTGCCGTGTTCAAAACGTTTGTGTCAATACGTTGCGTGTTGGTTCAACGTATTGGCCTTCGTTTTGGCGAACGCATCGGGTCAGGCCTGCGTTTTCAGTCTGCGTGTTGAGTTCCGTGTCACTGCGCTACGTGCTGCGTGTTGCGCATCGGGGTAGCTACGCTGCGAGGGCTTCTTCATCGAGCTGATCGTGGGCATCCTCGACCGACTGGTCCTCGCGCTGATCATCAAGTGGACGGAGGAGAACGCCAAGAAGGCGATCCGGTGGACGAGGTCGCGGCAGTGGTTCTGGCAGCTGCTGCTCGCCACCGGCGCCAGCGGCCGGTACCTGACGCAGTCCGCCCCGGAGGCGGACGTCCAGGAGGCGGAGCTGGAGGAGGACGTCGAGGGCACGCCCATCGAGGAGGCCATGGAGGAGATCATTGGCTGCGGTACCACCTGCATGTCGACCGTCACCACCCCGATCTTGATCGCGGGGATCATGATGTTCGATGCGGAGACACAAATTGCAGCGTCGTACGGGATCCGAAAGACGGACATGATATGCTACCTGCTGTTCGGCGTGATGATAGCGCCCTTCCAGGTCATGATGGATATCATCATGAACCACGCGACCGAAGTAAAGCACGGAGTGCGAATTTACGACTATATGCTTTATGCGAAATGGCGGTGGAACAACCGCCTGACGCGATGGCTTTACGACGACCCGCGCATGGACGAGAGCATCGCCGAGCCCCTGCAGAGTGTCAATCATCTTTGCTTCTCCCCGCAGTTCTACTTCATCGAGTGCTATTACTCCTGGGGCATACTCATGCTTCTGCTGGCACTGACAACTCTGCTGCGCAATGGCATGAACCCCTTCGACGATCCTGCAATGTTCTATTTCGTGGTGCAGCAGTTCGCTGTCAACCGGATTTTGGACAGGATCGTGCGCGTCATGACGTCCAACATACTGTGGCCCCCAAAGCAGCAGACCACGCTGAAGACGTTCAGCCGATCGATCGCCATCTCCCTGAAGAAGAAGGACCAGCGCGACGCGACCGAGAAGTACCAGCAGTACTTCCTGCAGAGGCACTCGGGCTGGCTGGTGAACCAGCTGGGCAAGGTCTTCACGCCCCGCTCGCAGGCGCGCTACCGGCAGAACCTGTCCACCCTCTACCAGCAGGCCCTGCAGCTGCAGCCCATCCGCATCTACCGGGCGCCGGGCCCCGCCTTCCCCAGGCCCGTGGCCCACCAGGAGCTGCCGCCCAACCTGCGCCTGGAGCTCGAGGGCGACGAGTCCTCGTCCGACGACGAGGTCCTGAGGGGAAAAATCAGGAGGGGAAGAAACACACAGACACAATTAATCGTCGACCCCCCAGAAAATATGGGAAAATATGGGAATTGGGCGGGAAGACAAAAACCCAGAAAATATTAGAAAATATGGGGAATTATTTTATTTGTGTGTATTTATTTGTGTGTCCTGGGGCCCCTTGAAAAAAGTCCTGGACACTGGGGTGTTCCCTTGGGGCGAGCCCTTTATCCTGAGTCGTTTTCTGACCGCCCCGGGCCGTGGAGGGCCCCGAGAGCCCGAAAACGGGGAAAAACCTCCTCCTCCTCCTCCTCCTCCTCCTCCTCCTCCTCCTCCTCCTCCTCTTTTTTTACGTTAGACTAGCCTTAGCATGATGCTGTGGCGTTACTGTGTGGAAAGAGTAGCACAGACGTGCAGGTGGACGACTCGGCGCAAAGCGACCTGGCGGGCGCCGCGGAAAATGAATTTGGTAAAGAAACGGAGAAGACGAGCAAGAAGAGTAGGCGCCAGCCAGGTCCAAGAGGTCGGCACTGACCTCAGTGATAATTGCCCCTAGTAAGTAATGATAAGCTAATGTAGATATACCCCCCATAATAGGTAGTACCACCTCAGTAGGCAAGAAGCAGTGAAATGATCCCGTAAACAACTCTGTGCAACCGAGGGTACCAGATCGCCTTTCACGTGGGAAGATGGCTCACGTATAGGGTGTGGTACCTAAAAGGGGCCAGTGTCGTTTTCAGATTGTGCAATTCGATACACAGGTTTTGTAGGATCACCCCGAACCTAATCTGGAAAGAGGTGCCACCATTGCGTCGGAGGGCGAGCGAGGGACGGAGGGTGTAAAGCTGGACAGTGGCAGAGCAACGAGTGGCTGCCAGTACGTAGGCTGGCCTGTGTGGAGGTGGGCCTGGTGCCATAGGGTTTTGCGGATCACTCCTAACCTTGCGAGAATACATGTGCAAGCCTAGGGCTGCGTCCCAGGGTGTTGTGGACAACTCCGGACCTGCGAGTGAACAACGCCACCAGCGTGTCGGGAGAGCCGCGAGGGAAAGGCTTGACAGAGAGTTGGAGTAAGAGGGGGGGCCCCCTTGGGTGTCCCTCAGAATCGGCCGATGGCGTTTTACCGCAAGTGGGTGTAGGATCCATACAGTAAGCCGAAAGCAAGTAGACAACGAAACCATCGAGGAGATCTGGCGGTAATACACTTGGCCTATACATTGTATTGGCTGTGGGTGTACGCGCACTGATGTTGCCATGGGGTGCTGTGAATAACCCCTAACCTTTCGAAAAAAGACTGTGCCATCCCAGGGCTGCGGCCCAGGGCTTTGCAGGATAGCCCCGAGCCTGCAAGTTAGAGCGTGTCTCCAGCATGTCGGACGATCCGCGAGGGAACGACACTTGGCATCGCTCGGACGTTTGCATGTTTCCTTCGGCGAGGACCATCGAGGAGCATCCTTGATCATTTGGCGAACCAACCACGCACGAAACCAAAAAAACACAGGAAATAGACGTCCGAGCGATGGCCAGGACAGGGTGTATGTCGGAAGAGTGACAGAGGAGAGAGTGGTCGCCGGTAAGTAGGCTGGCTTGTAAAGGCCGGCCTGGTGCAAGAAAGATTGACGTGCGGGGTCTACCTCTGTAGGGACCCAAGTGGTAGTGCTGTTGGGTTTTCGTGGCTGACCCCCAACCTTGAAAGAGAAAGCTTCGCCTCCACCGCCTAGGCCTCCATTCCAAAGGTATCGTGCGTTATGGGCCGAGTGTAGAGCGCAAAACATGATTTTGGCTGCACGCTTGTATATACTAGCAGGCGACTGCACAGAAGTGTCGTTAGTGCGACAAGGTAGGGCATAGAGTGGGGACGAGTGGTAGTGACGAGGTAGGAGGGCGTAGGAAGTATGTGTGCGACAGAAAAAGCACAAGCAGTCTTAGGGCTGCTACCCAAGGTTATGTAGGTTACCCCCAAACCTATGAGCAATGAGTACCGCTGACATGTCAGATGAGCCGCGGTAAGAAAGAGGAGGTGCGTATTGCAAGTCAGTGCCCATTGTATATTGTCTGACTGCTGGCATAGCCGTGCTGCCTTATTAGTCGGGGTCCTTTGCGGCAATCGACCCACTAGGAGTACTTGTTGCGGGTGTTGCGGTAGTCTGCCGTATGTACTAAGAATTGTAGGTCGGTCGTAATGTCTAGCTCGGTTGGCTCGTCGTGGTAGTTGTCGGCTTGGACTTGGGAGCGGCCTTGTGTATCGTTACCATGTGCTTGGGCGGTGGCTCCCTGAATGGCGCTCCACCTGTGTGTTCATGTCCGCTGATGGGGTACGTATCGTAGCGAGCTTGGTGTGTGCGTAGTCTGTCCATGTAGTTCTGGAACGTGGAGTCACCAGTCTTGTTGATGAAGATGATGCGTCGGTTGAAGATGTGCATATGTTGCTTCCTGTGTCGTGCTGCTTCTTGGTGCGTTGCGATTGCTTGAGCGGCTTGCGTCGGGAAGTACGCGCGCCGCGTCGCTAGTGTCTGCGGTGCTAATTGCTGCTAAGGGATTGTAGCCATTGCTGTGTGTTGATGTCCTCTTCGGGCGGGTATATGATCGGTATCATGAGTGCGGGTGGCGGTGGGTGTGGCGGTAGGTATATGTACGGTGGCGACCATTCGATCATTGCAGTGGATGTAGGTGCAGGTGTGGTTGCCGCCGCTGTTATATTGTTGGTGTTGGGTGTGTTCGTCGGCTTTTGGACTAGGTGCGCTGGTGGTGGCTTGTACGGTCGCTGGTGTGGTGCGGTCGTAATTGCAGCGGTCGTTTTGTTATTGCGCGTATCTGGCATGGTTTTGCTTGGGATTGTGTTCTGTTTTGATTGCGTGTGTGGTGAGCTGTCATGCTGTGTGGTCGCTGGTTGTGTGAGCACTTTCGGTTGATTTGGCTGTTGTTTAGTCTGGTGTTCCGCTGCTTGGCCGTGTAGGTTGTCAGTTGTGCGTGTTGGGCTGGCCGGTGTGCTGTTAGCGGTCCAAGATGATGGTAGCGTGGGTGCAAGCGGTTTGAGCATGGGCTGCGTTGATGGTGGTGGCGGTTTGGTTGGCACTTGTTGGGTCTTTTGTGCTGTGCTGGTCGTGCCTTCTTTGTCGTTGGATCGCTGTCGTCGCGTTTGCTGGTGAGGTGCGGCCTTGGAGCTTGTGGTTTGCAGGTGCGCTGTAGTAGATGTGGTGTGTCGCGTAGTCGTACTTCCCAGTCGTACTCGAAGTCGTGTTAGTCGTGGCAAGTGTTGAGCCGTTGTGCCACTTCTTGTATGGCTGCGATCTTGGCATAGCTGGGTGGTGCATGTCCTCTTGCTCTCAGCGCAAGGATGTGGTCGTAGGTCTGGACGACTTGTGCTATGAATGTTCGGTTGTCGCGGCATTGTGTCACAAATGCTTGGAAGTCGTTGTCGTATCGTGAGAAGTTCGGTTTCTTGGGCGGTCTGTGCTGTGGCTGGCCTGCTTTGACGGCGCTTTTGAGCTTGATCAGTTTCTTGCAGGTCGTAGCGGGTAATGTATAGGTGGTTAGTGGCGTGGCTTGGGATTCGGGTCGCAGTGGTGGACGCGGTATGTATTGGTCGCCACCACGGTGTGCAAAGATCTCGTTGTTGTTTTTGTTGGGATACTTGCACCATCCAGGTAGTAGTAGGTGGTCGCTGGGGAATCTGAGTGCGTATGGGTTGGCAGCTTCGTGGTAGTATACTGCGTGGTGTCAACGGTATTATCCTTGGATGTCCTCGCCTGCGTCGTCGGCGTAGTGACAGTCGGCGGTCCAACCATTGGGTAAGTGCATGTCATGGTATCTGTTTGGTTTGAGCGGTGGTAGGCAAGCTTCGTGGAAGTTCGGTTCATCTTGGCTCATGGGTCATCGATGTCGTTGTTGGTGTCCTCTGGTGCTGAAATGTCGTAACCTTTGTCTTGGTCGTATTGCCACTGTGCCGTTGGTGAGCCGTCGTTGGTCTGCGTCGGTGGCATCGGCGTCCGCGGGGGTTCGGGTGGGATGTGTTCGTGGCTGTTTTCGTATCTTGTGTTGTCGTGTTTCGTATTATGTTTCTTGAAGGTGAGGTTGGGTATAGCTTGCTCTGGTGGTAACAATTTCTTCTGACGGTTGCACATGCGTCGTAAATATTTCAGGTGGTCGTAGAAGTCTTTCTCGATGTCGCACCGCTCTGCTAGATGTTGTTGTACAAATGTTTAGTGCTCACCGTCTGGTGGTAAGTGTGTGCGGGATCGGGAGCCGTCTCCTGTCTGTATGAACTTCGGTGGGTCGTAGGTGAATTGTGGTCCATGAGGGCGTGGTGGGACGTCGGGTGGTTCGGCCTGAATGTAGTGCGGGTTGCAGTCGTCGTAGATGACGTATTTGCTTGGGTAGAGATCTGTGATGGGTGTAGGTCCGAGGCTTCCAATGGTTCGTGGCCACTTGGGTTGTGCCTGGTTGGTGATTTGAGCTCGTGGTGCGTTGGGGGTGTTTGGGCCTGCGTGGCAATTGGGTTGGAAGCGTAAGCGCGCAGTGTCTTCCCATTGGTTTGGCAGCTCGCATTCAAGGTTAGTGGCGTCTTCTAGTTCAACGTAGTTGGGCTGCTCGTATGCGACTGGTGGAGCGACGTGATGTCGGCTCGTTTCTAGTATGCACGCTGCCCGGGGTGGGTGGAGGCTCGAGGCGCTTGGTGTGTGTAGTGCGTCTGCCAGGTAGCTGGTGAGTGAGAGTAGCTCAGACCCTGATGAGGCGTTGTGGTGCGAGTTTGCCACTGAGCACATGAAGGTACGTGCTTCGTAGTTCTTTGCGTCGTACTTGAGCTTCGCGTGGATGGCGTAGTCCTCGTCCATCTGAAACTCTTAGCGTTTGGTGCTCCGCGGGCAACCTAGCTTGTATAGTGTCTCTTTGAGGCTGTCCCCGTGCCGTCCTCATTGAGGTATGAGTAGTTTAGTCGTGCCGTGTTGTGGTCGATGTCGTTGCTGAGTTGCTCCCATTTGTTGCGTATGAGTGGTGCGTTGCGT